ATGTCTTATATATATATATATATTGGTGGGAATTGATGGCATGGCCCGAATTTTAACATTGCTGGATACAGAAATTTACAAAGAGGAGTAAAGGAAGCATTACAACAGGCAGCCCAAGAGGCTGGTTAAGATAAAGACGCAAAGATTAGAATGAACAAAGTAGGGCTCAGCAGAAAAAATAGAAGCTCAAAGATGTCATCAACAGAGCAGAGAGTAGAATGTAAACCCAGAAGAATGAATCACAAGCAGCAACAAAAACCAAAACCAAAACACTCATGGCAGTAGAAACCTTGTAGTAGGAACTCGACAAGTCTGAAAACCCAGGAAACCAAAAATAGGGCTGCCAAAAAGGCTTGTCGTTTGCTGAATAGCTCGTGTTCGATTTATTCATTAAGCAAGAGCGTTGAATACAAAAAGCTTTTCTCAGCTTGATTTATAAATTAGTTGGACACGATCAAACTTTTGTTTGACAAATTTTAACTTGAATTAATTAAATAATTAAGTAAATAATATATTTATAACAATTCTATATTAATTTTTTAATAATGTATTTTAAAAAAATATTAATTTTTATTATTTTTAAAATCATTCAAATTAATTTCGAGCAGAATATGAGTTGAAACGAATAAATAAATTTGAATAGGGAGAAACACGAAAATACAGTTGCAGCCATACGTTGAGAATAGCATTAGAGAAGAAACAATTAAAGAAAAAATTATTTATATTTTCTCTTTCAAAATTGCAGAGGCGGAAAGAGTTGCAGTGAATATTACTGCTAATAAGAGCATTGACAGTTTTCAAACCTCTTTGAACAGCTAACCAGGAGTGGATGAAAAATCTGAAAGCATAGTTCTTCTACAAAATATAATTAGCCAAATCCATATTCAGATTATCATTAAAGAAGCTCTCGCGAATTATACCGAAAGGGTAATTGTCCAAGTGAATAGGAAAATCTCCATGAGTGAGGCTGTTGGGAAGGTGAAAGCCAACCATGGCAAGATCCGGATTGCTAGAGTTGATTACAAGAGGAGCATTCTGAGTGCATTGTTGAGAATGAAAGGCAGAATCATCCATGAACTCCAATAAGCACTTGACTTTAATTCAGGGATCCCAACGCAGCATAGAGTAAGAGCTATTCCCAATGGAAATGGATAAATGGATCTTACCAGTATTAGCAGTGTCTTTCATTCAGCTTGTTCTAAAAGGAGCGGTTTCTACAACTAGGATTCCAGAGTGAGAGATAAAGACCAAGGAACCAATTAGCAATCAGAGAGTGGCCCCTACAATTGTTAAGAATAAGCTTACCTATGCACCCAAAGTAGGTGGTGGGAATAGAAGTGAGGTCAGGTTCCCCATAGCTTCCTGGCATGCAGACTTTGCCCAAGATAACATATGAAGTTTTGTATTAAAGTTGTTACCATGGAGCGGAAATTTAGAGCGCCAACCTTTTATAATTTTAATAAACTCCTGGGAAATAGAGCTCTCACCCAATACAAGAAAATACTACCAATAATGAAAGTTGAAATCTACCAGACATAAGAAAATACCTTAGCTTTCCAGTCATCCAAAACCAACTGAATTTTGTCAATCAAAAGTTGAAAGATTGATATCTTGCGTCTATAAGCAAATTCAGAAATGCCCAGACAAGTAAAGGATGGCCAAGAGAGTGTAAATTCAAAGGAACTGCTCAGATTTTAGACATTAAGAGAGCTTTTAGATGAGCTTTACCAACAACAATGACATCATCAGCATAAAGAATGTGAGAGATAGGAGAGATAGAAGGGTTACCACTTAGATGAATAGGGTCATATTCTCTACTAGTAATGTTATGTTCAATAAGATTTGGTAAAGCATTCATGCAATTCAGTAAGAGAAAATGAGATAAAGGCTTTTAGAAGAAATTATTGTAAGGTTGGAGGCTTTTTGGAAAGTCCAAGGGGACTGAGAAAACAAGTGAGTTCCCTTGAGGAGCTTTACCAACAACAATGACATGATCAATATATAGAAGGTGAGAGATAGGAGACCAACTACTTAGATGACTAGGGTATTAATCTCTACTGGTAATGTTATGTTCAATATAATTAGACAAACTATCCACAGCATTGCAGAAAAGAAACTGGATAAAGGACATCACTGCCTTGAACCAACAGTGGA